CGCATTCAACATCTCAAGTGGATTTTTAGTAAAGTTTGGCCATAATCTAGAATTTTTGTGACGGTTTGCTTATCCGTCTGACTAGCTCCCTGACTACCACTGACAACGTCTTCGCTTGATTGCCGAAACTCCCCGCCAACTCCCTTTCTTTATTGTGATCCCTTTTCCTCCGGTTAGCAATAGATCCCTGATCCAGGCGTCTCTATTTTGCTGCAGTAGGCAAAGTTATCGTTAACTCTACCTACCTCAAATCTCCCGTTCATTAGGTTTTTCTCCCCAAGGACGTTAATGGCCTCCCTAATCTTCCGCTTCCTAGTGTTTTCATCGTATGAAGCCCTTACAATTGATCCCGTGTCCAGTCTGTGCGATTTATTCCGCCAATTATGATCCTTCGGTATCCATTTTCCTGCAGAGCCTTTGATATTCCTTGATTAGTGTGGTAATTTTTCTCCCTGTTTCGCCAATATATTTCTGTTCGCAGGCGCCGCATGATATACAGTAAACTCCTGAACAATCCAATTTGTCTACTCTTTCATGTTGTGCCGGTAGACTTGTGAAAAGTGTTAATTTGTCTTTCATGGCCACCCGAATATTTCATTTCCTCAATATATTGGCCGTAGTTTTTGAGTTAGTTCGCAAGAAAGTAGGCATATCTACCTTTGTGAATCCTTCTCCGTCCTTACTGTTCTTTCATAGTCCCCGTTCTGCCATCAACTTTCCACGGACCGTATGTTTCTTTGTATTACTTCGCTAGGGTAGCCATTACCGAGGAATATCCCAGTCAAGTTGTCCAGCTCCTCGTCCCAGAATTCTACGTCCGTTAATGGTAGGCTTCGGATGATCATGCTCCTCATTATTCCAATCTTCAGTCTGTAATTGTGATGGGATCGGAACACTTTCTCTTTGAGCGTCCCATTAGAACGAATCACTTCAACATCCAGTAATGGCAACCGCCCACCTTCCTCTGGTTCCATTGTGAATTGAATTTTTCTATCAATCTGGTTTACTAACTTCAAAAACTCTTCCAGTTTTTCTCTTCTATGTGACCAAGGTGCGAAGTAATCATCCATGTACCACATGAGCACTGCCGGTTGTAGCAATGCCATCTTGAAGCTCTCTTCTATTTAGTTCATGTATACGTTTGCCAAAAGTGGTGATAGCGACGATCCCATGGGAAGTCCAAATATGTGTTCATAGATGTTCCCGTTGACTGTAAAATAGGTTGTCCTTATTGTCAAGTTGATTAATCGTGTTAACGACTCCCTCCTGATCCTTTGTGATTCCGGGATATCCTCCTCTCGGTCCAGCATTTCTTTCAGGGCCGTTTGCGCATTTTCTCGAGAGATATTTGTATACATCGATTCCACATCTAAGCTTACCAAGAAGTCAGTTTCTTCCAGTGCCATGTTTTTGTTTTTTTGAGAAAATTCATATGAATGATTCACCGTGTTTGATAGCCTCTCATTTAATTTCTTGAGTTTTAAACATATAAACTTTGCCAATTTGTGTGTTGCTCCATACTTGTTGTTGACTATCAGCCTTGGTGGCTCGCCTTCTTTGTGTATCTTCGGTAATCCGTAGGCTGTTAGTGGTTGTGCATCCTTTCATATGATTGGATTTCTTGTCCATCTGTCAATTTCACCGTTCCTATGCTAAGCATATACTTTTTAGCCCGTTGACAAGGTGAACTAAGGAAAGCATAACAGAGGCACTTGAGGAAACGCCCAAAAATTTCAATTAAAATGGCTTTTAGAAAGTTAAGATCGAGCAATAGGTTGATCGTATAATGAATCAAGAAAAGGGTAAGAGGGAAATATAAGAAAAAAAAGGTTAATTTTGGGAATTCGTTTTGCTAAATTAATCAGTCAAAAAATGTACTTCAATCAGAGCACCGGTAAGTAAATGGAACTTTATTGTTTAACACAGATATGAAGACCAAGATGTTGTTGCCTTCCGCTTGGTCGCATTCGTTTATATTTTCATTTAATGCTAAATAGTCTAAAATTAAGTCCTTATTCTTTGGTTTTATCAGCATAACTAGTGGAAATCAAACCCAGGATGCGTTTGTACAAAACTCTATTACTAACGCAACCCTAGCTCCAATGTGTTACAAGGCAATTAACTTCAATTTTCATTCCAATATAAATGCATACACACTATACCAAACCTTCTAATTTGGAGAATTAAGATGCAATAGAAACTAAGCTTAAGCATTCAGTAACGAAATAACGAGTGGCCTAAAGTATTTTTGACATTTTTTAGCTTCATTAATAAAATTAATCTTCCCTATGGTAAACATAATGATAAATTCAGACGGCTTCTTAATTCTTTTAAAAAAAACATAATATTGGAAGGATAATCTGGCATTTTATTTAAGCAAATTTACACAACGCGGAAATAATAAACATTTCTGCCTTAACTGGAATCTTTAGATAAGTGAGTATAATTGCGTAAGTATAACTTATCCACATGCATTGGCTAGGACACAGATTTTAGCGTAAATGCAACCTTGTGTCGCCCCTGCAAAAACAAATGTAAGCTTACAAACGCCGTATGAAGGATTTCTCGAACAATTTCATCACACTTAAGATGCTGCTGATTAGATTTTATAGCCTTTAAAATTGCTTAACTCTAAAACCCAAAGCTAATCACCTCAAGCATCAGATGATTCAGCCTTAGCTGCTGTTGCAAACTGCTAACAGTTGTTTTTACATACCACCTGTTAGTCCCGAAGACAAGTTTATGTAGGCAGACCGGCCACACGTGAGCTACTATTTTTGTGTTTCTGCATACATTTTAATTTGTTGTAAAAAACAGGAGTAATTAATTTTGCCTAGTTGGTAAAGAGGACAGCCTAACATCAAATAATGCATAATTAAGCTTCTGAAATACGATGAGGTCCAAAAATCAGAAATTTTTCAAAGATAAGTATTGATAAGCTATTTCATACATAACAATGTATATTGGCATTGGTGAATGTCAAGATGTGTTAATATAAAGTCAAGTCTGCATTATGTCTGGTGTTCAAAGATAGTTTACCTAGAAGTTATATATAAAAGTTTATCTAATTAATCATTCTCTAGTGGCTTGTTTTTTTGAACAGGAATTATCCTGTAGGAAACGAGATAAGTAATTAGTGTTACAAAGACTATTTTATTAAATTTTTTTATTTTGTCTTAAACTCATTTGATGGCAGTGGTCCGTCATTCATTGAATGATAATCATATTTTGTCTAAAAAAGCTAAATCGAATATAAGGCCTGAGCTTTCCAGTGATTCTTCACTAAAATAAATTCAATCCTAGCTTAAAGACATGTTTTTTCTTGAAATTATTAAGTTATGCCTAAAAAAACTCATAATTTCGAGGTCCTAATCAAGAAAATTAATAACTTTCTAGAAGTTGGTTGACCTTGTTTTCGTAATTTGGTCATATTGCTAGAAAGACTTAGAGGAACGCACCTAGTCCGGAGTCCATTGTATTCATGATAATTTTCAGAGTCGGGCAATGAACGTGTACATTTCCAGACGTTTCGTCGGCATCGTTAATGAGCATTGTCAGTCTTAGCATCATACTACAACTCGTCAAAGAGACAAGTGAAGCCAATCCTTTAACTAATTGTCTGCTAAACAATTTGGTATCCCTCCTTCCACCCTGGGCTAATCACCAACCCTATATCCTCTTATCACGCCTTTACGATCACAATTGTTACTTGCATATTTAAATGTGGTATGGTGTGACCTTTTGAGCTGATGTCATGGCAACTCTCCACACTCCACGTTGGCTTTCTCACCTCCTTATCCCCTTGCTCTGATTAGGTTCAATGTTGAACCACAACATTTATGAGTTGGTACACAAAAGACTAGGGAATAGGAAGTCACATACTTGGTATTATGGATAGAAATAGGATAGATGCAGCGGAGACTATAGCTAGTTGGCTGACAGTAGGCCTGTTTTACGATAGATGTGTTTCATGAAGCAGAGCTTGACCATGATTATGACTTAGTGGCTTTAGCCTCAAGTTAGTACCCTAGAAGCAGAGTGTGGGAAATAGCGCCTCGAGTAGCACAGATATGTTGGCAGGGGTCGAGTGAAATACTTGAACCAGCGAGATGGCAGACGGATCTGACGGGGCAAGAGGGAGACTCTGATAAGACCTAGGGAATGAGGACTGCGTAACAATATGGCAGACTCTGATCAACATTCCTAGCACAAGGGTGAAGAGGGGTGAGGGGGTTAAGAAAGCCAGTGTGGAGAGTTCTTATGAAAGCCGCTCAAAAAGACACACCATACCACATTTAAATAAACAAGTAAAAAATTGTGATATTAAATGCGTGATACGAGGATATAGGATTGGCGATAAGCCCAGGGCTAAAGGAGAGATACCACGATTGTTTAGCAGACAAATGGTCAAAGGATCGGCTTCATTTGTCTCTTTGACAAGTTGTTGTGTGGTGCTAAGACTATCAATACTTACTGACGATGCTGGCGAAACGTGTGGGAATGTACTACGTCCACGGCCTGACTTTGGAAATTACATGCATAAAATGGATTCCGGACTAGGTGCGTTCCTTTAAGTCTTCCTACTAGGTTGTGCAAATAAGGTCAAACCGCTTCTATAGAATGAAAGGAGACTGCGGCTACACAAAAGGCCACACCATCTTGGTCTTCATACCTTCGATTAGCCCATTTTTTACTTCAAAATAATTTATAGATGCATGTGAATTAGAATGCATTTAGATCTACTTAATAAATAAATGCATGCATACAGATATAGAATGTTCACTAACAGTTGTGACTCGATAATCAATGAATAAATCATAGTATGGAAAGGAAATTTGGTTGAAGAAGTAAAACTCCAAAAAATTTTGTGATACCAGAATTTGGACATGAAAGTAGCTTATATTTTGACTATGTATAATGTAACAGAATGAAATAATGCTTCTTAGATATTTTTCATCTCAGTTTTAGCCTATTAAACCTATAAAATTACCCTAAATTAATCATCCTGGAATTTGAGAAAAATCATAATAATATTACTGTGTAATTCATAAAAGTGATGTGAATGGTCAAGTAGCCAAATGCTCTTTTGCTAAAGTATTAAACTATTTTTTCGTATTACTTTTACTATAGTTGGTCCTAATTAGCTTACCTCGAAGCTCATTCATGTAAGGGCCTCCCAGATAGAGACTACCGGGACTGCTAGGATGCCGAACAACAGAGGCACCCAGAGCGCAGAAGCGAAGCACAATATTGCGTCTTGAGCGACTGTTCGCCATGCATACTAGACTAGAACTTGTTTGGAATCGCGAGTGATTTAAATCTGCATCTACATTGAAGCAGCCGCCCGTCATGTAGAGGTTTGAATTACGAATCTTTGTTAACCTTGGAGCACAAGTCTGAGTGAAGAGGTATAAAGGAAAAGATTTCAACCACTATTAAATAAGAAAATAAGTACAAAAAACTGGTCACATCTTCTAGCAGAAGCACTTAATTTTATATGAATGTTAATTATATACTTGTTATGCTTAAATCGAAAATATATTTCTGGTTGTACTGAATAGGAATATACAAACGAAAGGCAACTAGTTATTTTTGAGGG